CCACGAAGCCAAATTTGTTTTGGGCGTTCAAAGCGACGCGCATCGCGCGCAACCAAGTGTTGTAGTTATTCCCATTCAGTGCGTGAGAGACCAACGTAAGCCCAAGATGATCTGAGCTATGAAGAAAAAATGGGTTATGGGTTTCATCTGAATGGGTGTTTTGTGAGGTTTGGGTAGTTTGTGAATTTTGGGTTGAAGGTACCACCAACGGCTGAAATCGATTATGTGATGAAGAGCCACCACCACCACCTCTGGCCATAGTGGCTTAATGAGGTGTAGCGGAAATGGTTGGAGCTTACAGCTCTGATACCATATTAGAAAAGGAAATTAACAATAGATTTAGAGAAGAAAAATTCTCTTAATTTTTCTGTATATTAATATTTGAATGTATGTTTTTTATATACAAGTAGAGAGTTAAATAAGAGAATTTACATGTAGTTAGTTATAACAAAAATATAATAACAAAATTGATAAGATAAAAAATAAACAATTAATTATACAGTCGTTAGCTTGTGGCTAAAAACACAGAGCCCAACAATTGGGATTAAATGAGAAAAGAGGAAGTCTTTCATGGCAATCACATGGTTGTTTTGCATGCAATTGACGATAAAGATAACAAAAATGATAGTTATACTGTGTGAACAATGGTGAATCACGATATGAAAAGAGAGAAGATTACTGAAGAGAAGAGAAGGGTAAATAAATGAAAATGTGTAATTAACAGTTCTTCTTCTCAAGTTATATTTATTGATAATAGATAAGTACATTATCCATATCTACCATGCACCTACCATATATATATATATTTCACAAATATCTACTTTGCACTTCTTATCATGTATCCATTTACCCACTCCATATATGAGATAGGTTAGTGGATAACTCACTCCATTGGCTATAAGCACATGTGGCAAATTACATGGTGCCAACATAGCTAATTGTTTTACTTTTAATAAATTTGGCGACGGAAGGACTAATTTAAAAAACACTTACAAAGTGGGGACCTAATTGAATAAACTAACAACCTATAGACTAAATTGAAAGCCATGTAAAGGTTCAGGTACCTTTTTGCAATTAAGCCGAAGAAAAACCCTCAATCTTATAAATCCTCCGCCGCTGCTTGTATTTTCTTTAGAGTAGGACAGAGCCCCCGACCTCCTAGGGTTTCTCTTTTCATCTGCTTCAATGGTAAACACTGACGCCTGTATTTCTATGTGCGTGTATTTATATGGAGGTTATTGATACATGATTTGTCTATGAAAATGGCAGGGAAAGGGAACAGGGAGTTTCGGTAAGAGGAGGAACAAGACTCACACTCTCTGCGTGAGGTGTGGCCGCCGCAGTTTCCATCTCCAGAAAAGTCGTTGCGCTGCTTGTGGTTTCCCGGCTGCCCGCAAGAGGAAATGTAAATATCTCTCTCTATATCTCTACCTGTATGACTATATATACACATATAAACATTTAACTGTCTGGATTTGTATTTATGTGCTTGTGGATAAGTGTGTTGATGATTTGTTGCTGTTTCTGTATGATTTGTCATTCTTGCTGTCTTGGTCTACATGGAGGCTTGTTTTTTGGCTGGCATTTAGTTTAATCAGTTGCTCACTGATCGATTTAATGTTGTATGTTAATGGTCTTTTTTTAGCTTTATCAACAATTTTCAAATGTTTATGTTTTTCTGAGCGATTCCACCTCTCAAATTTTGTTTTTTACGTGCATGAATTTGTTTTTATTTTTAATTCCTAGTTGTATGAAGAAAAGATTGAATCATATCATTTTGGCAAGCGATGTTCACATTGTGTTATTAACTTCATGAAATTATGTTCATGTTTGTATCTATAAGTTGATCTAAGTACATGCTTTATTCTTGGTTTTAGACAACTGGAGTGTGAAGGCAATTCGAAGGAAAACTACTGGAACTGGTAGGATGAGGTATCTCCGACATGTTCCTCGCAGGTTTAAGAGTGGCTTCAGAGAAGGTATTAAATTGAGTCTCTCTTTGATTTCACTCCGTTATACTCTAAGCTATGGATTTGATTGTTTGTCATTTGATCATTATTTGATTATCATTCTTTGGTTTAACCTCAGGCACCCAAGCTACCCCAAGGAAAGCAGCTGCTGCATCAACTTAAGCAGTTGAAGGTTCATAGTGGGCATAATTTGTAGTTTTAAATTGAGTTCTACATGTTTAAGACAGCTTTTTTCCATGGGAAGTTGTTGTAGGATTTCATTATGTTTCATGCTTCATTGGTTTTTAGTTCTGCTTACCAAATAGTTACTTCAAATTTTGAGCGACATGGATGATAACTGTTGTTTGTCAATTCATTGTTTCCTTGTGCTTTAACGAGAATTTATGTCTTTTCTCCCATGAGATGGATTTACTTATGCTTACTGCCCAGGCTAGTAGTGACAACTTGTCTTCTACAATGTAATTTGTGTCTCTCTTTCTTATTGAGCCTAAAAGCCTTGTTCGATCTTTGAATTGATTCTAGGTGTGATCAAGTTATGATTTGGTATTTGGTTGGGATTTGTTTTGTATGGATGCAGTGAATTCTGGAGGAAGAAGTGGATAGTTTTCCATTGTGCTATTTATATTATGTGACTTTTGCGTGGGGCATTGGTCTTACAATAAGTGTTCTCTAAATCATAGGGAGCGAGGGAGAAGAGAATTTTTGTTTAGTGGAATGTCTTAATGTCGAACTGACTTTGTTATAAATTGGCACTAGAAAAGAGTGAGTACTTCTAGTGCGATATGGTCTTGTAGTATGGGGTGGTTATGTTTATTCTGTTTTTGTCTTGTGATTCTTACTTAAAAGGAGCCTCAGGGATATGCAACATCGCCAATTTTAGTAATGCAAGGTTGCCATTCGACTACTTGTCCTGTTTTAGGCCTTTTAGCGTGCTAACGGTATCAAGCATGTGTTTTAACAAGATTAACGTATTATATATTGGGAAAGTATAAA